TGTAAGACAATTTCATATGTATACTCACGCCGCTCTCGATTGCTAACAATGCTTGATGCAAACGCAGAAAACTCGTTGATTTCGGAGTAAGTATTCTAATCTGCATATCTTCCTTAAAACCTTTTTTTATCTTTTTTAACCGTGAAACACCTTTTATAAGCCGGCCGCGGAAACTGGTGGATTAGCGCTTGGATTTCGCGTCTAGAGGTCTTTGTTTCAAATAAGGACCACTAACAATAAGTGAGTTCATTAAATTAAGTGGTTTAACATAGAACTTATGAAGGGTTTTTTCACAGAAACATCACAATAATTATTCTCAGTTTTCCTCTATACCATACCGCTAGGAAAACAATGACCGAAGTGTACAAGTATCCAAACTACATTGTTTACATTTAGATGTTTTTAGTGTAAGAAACCTGTTTAACACGCTATCCCGCCCTTGCTTGAAACCGAAGCATTTCTTTTCTATCTCGTTTCGCTGCGTACAGAGTAACCTCGAAGGTAATTGTAAACGATGACATAAATGAACGATTTTCAGAATATGACCCACGTTGAAGATAGTCGAATAAAGTAAAGGTTATGGATTTCTATTCCAGCGCGTTTTCTATTTCTCAAAACTCATTTGGTGAATGGGTTTTTCGCATCGTTGCGTCATGACAGAGGTTCCTGGCCCTCAAACAAAGTTTACTTTCAACTAAGTGTCCTTTGTTCATCATCTCAAGGCTTTGTGTCGAGGAAGCTTACGGCTGAAAATACTTGGTTAACCATTTAAACTCCGAGTATTGAAATTTGGCAACTAATAATATGTTGAATATTTTCTTGTTATCTATATAAAATCACTTAAAAGCTATTTATATCTCCTCATCTTTCACGTTGACGAAATGTCATTAAAAGATAAATTTTCTACCATGCATGCATAGGTTCACCTGTGAAGCTTGTATATGCTCAGCATAAAATTCAACCCTGAAAGAAAGGATTAAGGCAAACCTGTTACCCCAGTTTTTGTGTGAAGTACCTTCCTAATATTTTTAAAATTTTGAGCATCCATTAGAGAGCCCCTTGACGCAAAATGACAGGGACAACTACCTTACTTACGAGCTATTTTGTCTATTCATATTGTTCTTCGGCTCGTTGAGATGTTAATGAAACCATTGTTGAAGAATCATACCTAGTGCGTTTGTCCACCAGTCAGCGGATATTGATCTTTAGAAACTAGTTTAGGATCTTTTAGCTGCAAAACCTGTCGTTATTGTCTCGTGTCGAAACGAACGTATTGCGGTTAGCTATTAACATATGTTGATGAAACAAGTTTTCGCCGCTACTTCATTTATGAATAATAATAAAGTGAATATGGAAAACTGATCAGTTCTTTTGACGTCATAATACTTGAAAATACTCTAGAGATAAACCATTTGCAGGTAGAACTGTCGCCAAAATGATTTATAACCGGCAGCATTACTCATGCAGGGCCGAAAGCGAAAGAAAAACTTCAAACGAACTCAGAAAACATCTCCCTTCTGCCTTGAACAAAAAGCTATCAACATTTTCTCTGTCAAATCAAACGACCGATCATAAAGCTATGACACTAAATGTCTGTTATCTTCTATTTCATGACACGACGTTTCATATTTCATGTGCGTTCAATTATGTCGCGTCAGGAAATTTTTTCAGTTTTTGAGTAGTCTGGCTCGTTACAAACTATATTTGGGTCGGTGTTTTATTTTTTCGATCTTTTATCGTAGAGAGAAGGTATCAAAAAAATTTTCCAAAGTATAATAAATAAAAAGATACATATTAAATAATAGATCGCGAAGTAAAAAAATCATGGGAAACTTGCTTTATCGAACTGAGGCTTCAACAATGAAACTGTCAAAATATTGGATTCCGAGCGCTTGTTTCCGAAAAAAACAAACTTTTCACGTGCTAAAGGCGGTAAGTTTCTATAGAAACTGTGGTGCTGCGTTGGTGGGAGAGTATAGCAAGGTAACTGGTTGTATCAACTCGCCTTTTGCTCACGTGCAAGGTTGTTGTGATCATGAGAAACCGCTAAATTGGTGAGTCATTGAACGACGTAATTAACCATAAATAAAAAGTGCCATCAATGAGTTCTACAGGTTATGAAGACATGTTTGACCCTTTTATGAAGGCGCCACACGTATGCGCGTTTGCAGCGCACGAAATCTCTTCCTATAATCATTTTATGCAGATTTCTCACATGTAGCTATGACACTAAATGAATACTTCACTGAATTTAAAAAGAAGTCAGAAGGCGGACAACAACTACAACAACAACAAAAAACCTTCAACTTCAACTTGAGACCGGCGATAAAAGGAAATCCTGACGCAGGTAAAACTCGGTGGCGATCAGACCAGTGGAATGGCGAGCTGAAGTTTTTTGGAGTCCGTAATTAAAGTTCAAAAACAAGGAAAACAACTGAACTTTTAGCCGGCAAACAACTTGATGTTTGTGTGAACTTTCTAGAGTTTCTATTTTGATCGGTGGGAATTTTGAAGATCATTTCCCCGCAATTCATTTTTTACCCTATTACTAGACATTTTAGTGTCTGTACTTTCATCATTTTTTGTCGATTTTCCGCTTTGATTTTCCCCTTCCGTCAAAACCCCTGCTCCTTACGAATAATTCTCGTGGATTGAAGACGCAAATATAATTTTCGGACCGTCTTTGAGTAACTTCAGAGCTCAGGTCTTCAAAATGTCCAATTAAACTTATCTCGATGCAATATCGGCTGTTAAATAAATGAGCATTAAAATCCTTTTATTTTTATTACAATAGCTACTTTTTCTTTTCGCTTCCAGTATTTTATTTCCTATTAAAGGAAGTACAGTCCTGGTGGTCCCATATCTGTGCAACGAAAGACTCGCGCTAACGGCATACGTCTCACTCGCAGGCAACAATCACCCACGCGCATTTTCCCCCACGAAAATTGAATCTCTATATTTTTAGCATTCCAAAACGTGGAAATTTCTGCATTTGTCAGAAAAGTGATTTGTTCGCTGAAATATCTCATCCCCAAAACACATCTGTCTCGTTTCATATATATATATAAAAGTTTTAACTCTCTCCAGTCTGCAAGACTCACTGAAGACTGCTTTTTTATATTCCAGTGACCTCGTTACACAAAAATACTCATTAAATATGTATAAATGAAGAATAATAATTTCTGGAAGCATTGTTCTTATAATAAGCTATAGCAGTCGCACAGCTATATTTTATTGAAGAACAAAAAGATCTTCTGATAAATGTGTAAGGCGCTGGCAAAGTGAGGCATCAAAATTAACGTCTTTGACTGATAGGTTGTCATCTTCAGCTTTTCTTCCGCGGATGGTTAAATTGTCTTTCGTGTTGTCGCGGTTCTATTGTGATTTATTGAATCCGAATAGATCGAGAATTAAAAAAAAA